TATTTCTATTTTTGTTAAGATGGAAAATCCCAAACTGGGTTAATTTTTCATTTAGTGTGAACTGGGGAAATTAATTCGGATTAATTATCCCGGATTCGAACCGGAGCAAATTTCATACTTTGAACACGGTATAGATTACCACTGAGAGTGTTAAGATGCAATGAAAAGTCCGGAAGCCCTGGGTAAAATTGATATCCAGGAACATTGCAAAACATTTTCGTCCTTTACAAAGGCGATTTCGGGACAAATAAATAAATAAAAAAAAAAAATTAATGAATAATCATTTGAAAAATAATTGAAATTTTATAAAACAATCAAATATAGTATGTCAAAATTATGTATTAAAGCACGTCCTCTATAATGTATGAAAATTTGTCTTTTCGGACACAATGCGAATGCTTAATTTCTTACAACATAGAGTTCTCAGTTTGTTCCCTGTGTGAATTAAAAAAAACCATCGCTACGGTCTCCATTCTTCGCGTGCCTATTCTCTAATTTTACACCTGACAATAATTCTCATTCACTACACCGAAAAGCGGACGCAATATATTTTTGTGTTGTATAAAAGAATGTACAATTTGCCACAAAAAGGTTCACCTGCAATCTATATCAATGCAAACAATTTCAAAATATAAAATTTGGAATAGGTACCAGATTTAAGCTTCATAATACCTGAAAACATTCTGTTTTGAAGTGAAATATGTAATAAGCCCCGTTTATTTACCAGCAGGTGCGGATTCAAGCTGGGACCCCACTTCCCCTAAAAAAGGAAAAATTAAGACTTTACAGCCAATTTTACGTCAAAATAAAGTCCTCTAATTTCCTAATGCTAATGAGCGCCATATCCTTTCAAAAGTTTTATTGTTTGTCTGTGCACAATTAATCTATGGTATATATAAGATCAAGCGATAAGATTATAAGATAATTATAGGTTACAAGAGCGCAATTATTCGTAATGCATTTTCCATAGGGTACCATTGGTGTTCCGTATTTTATTTCTCGAAGACTACTCAAACAAGGGAAAAAAGGGTAGCAGTTCCTGTTACTAGAAATGCCAGTGTTGCATAACAACCAAAATAATATATATGATCATGCCGCAAAAATCGACTTAAAATGCAGTGGAAAAAGATCTTCTATTTTTTTTCGATACATGAATAAGGCATATTTTAATGGCTCCGACGTGCAGATATGGAAGATATTTTCTATACTTTGTAAAATGTGAATTTGATTTTCTGAATTTTTTAAACCTAATTGGATAAGCTTTCGATTAAAAGTAATTCCAATCCTGTATCATCCAATCAAAAGCCGTACAGGATTCTATTCTGAGTACCCTATAATGTTGTGTTTGGATTTCAACTGCAATAAAACAGGATTATCTTTCTTGATTTGCGAGTTCTGAATTTTGAATTTTGAATTTTGAATTCTGAATTATGAATGATCCTTCTCGGCTTTCGTAAACTTGCACCCATTTCTCTATTTCGAGCACACACACACACATTGATAATTATAACTGTAATGATGAGGATAATACATGTTATGATAAAATATCTTTGAACTTTTGTCATTCAGTTGCTTAGTTCAGAAGTAAAGATTTGCTATGGTAACAACACACATTTTGAATGTAAGTATTTTCGTATGAACGGAGTTGATATTTTGCCTGCTTTTTGAATGTGAATAAATTTAACAAAGACTAACAGAACTTTTTGTTGACTGACGATGACTATAGACTTAGTAATAGAAAATATGATCTTTCTTAATATTTTCTATCATCAAATGTCGTACAATGACGTTTGCCTGGAAGTGTGCTTTCAGGGAATTAAGACGGTCTAACCTTGATTTAGATTAATGTTACTTCTGAAACAAGTATATTTGGAACTCCTTTGTCGAGTTTTACTGAATAAAACCAAAAATAATGCCTATGTTGGCCAAAGTACTACTGTAACTTGTATCACCACTCTATATCTTAAATAATGTATGCATGTACACAAAGTTTTAGAAGTCAGGATGTACCTGTAAGGTAATTGTTGAGTAGTTATTTATACACCTAAAACGTTCAGAATTTTTATGTACGCTCATAGATGTAAAATAAGAAGATGTGGTGTGATTGCCGATGAGACTAAATGACGTAGAATTTAGCAACTATATGTCAACTTTTGGCTATCAATGTTAGCAAAACCCATACCGCCTTGAACGATATAAAAAGCCCCGACATGACAAATGTAAAACAATTCAAACGAGAAAACCTGGTTCATGTACAATACAATAAACGAAAAACAAATATGTTATACACCAACAAACGACAACCACTGAGTTAACATGCTCCTGAATTGGGTTTGGTTTTTGGTTTTTGGTGTTTTAACGCCACTTTTAAGCACCGCATTTGGGCTATTTCGTGGCGGCCAGTTTTAATTGGTGGAGGAAGCCGGAGTGCCCGGAGAAAACCACCGACCTTCAGTAGGAAAACTAACAGTCCTAGTCAATTAAGATTGGATTCGAGTGCACCCGCACGAGCGGGGTTCGAACTCACAACCTCAGTGTTGACTGGCTAGTGATTACAGTAGTAACTACTTAGACCACTCGGCCACCGAGGCCCCTCCTGAATTGGGACAGGCACACAGAAAAGGGAGGGATTAAACATGTGGCGGGGACCCAACACTACCCTTACCTGTGACCGAGGTGCAACATCACAACACAGGTACAAACTGTACAAAACAATGAAAAAAAATGAATATGATATAAAGCAACCAACAACAATAAAATTGAGAATGGAAATGGGGAATATGTCAAAGAGACAACAACCCGACCAAAGAGCAGATAACAGCCGAAGACCACAAATGGGTCTTCAACGCAGCGAGAAAATCCCGCACCCGGAGGTGATCCTTAGCTGCTGGCCCCTAAACAAAATTGTGTACTGGTTCAGTGAAAACGGACGTCACACTTAACTCCAAAATATATAAAGGAACTAAAATTAAAAAAACATACAAGACTAACAAAGGCCAGAGGCTCCTGACTTGGGACAGGCGCAAAAATGCGGCGGGGTTAAACATGTTTTGTGAGATCTCAACCCTCCCCCTATACCTCTAGCCAATGTAGAATAAAGAAACACACAGCAATACGCACAGTAAAACTCAGTTTAAAAGAAGTCCGAGTCCGATGTCAGAATAGGTAACAAAAGAAACTAAGCAAAATGACAATGATACATAAATTAACAAAGGACTACTAGCAGTTACTGACATGCCAGCTCCAGACCTCAATTAAACTGATTGAAAGATTATGTCTTCATCATATGAAAATCAGGTACAATCCCTCCCGTTAGGGGTTTAGTATCATACCATCATAAAATATATGAGAAGAACATAACCCGTATCATACCAACAACTGGTGTTAAAATAAATGTGTTTATTTCCGATGCAAAGACTCTATGAGTGAATCAATATTAATACCAAAATATGCAACCCTTAATGATCTGACAACAGTATCGTAACTATATCTCTTCCGAATAAGTCTGTTTAAAGGTTTGGTTAGCTTTTTAGGTGAATGCTGACATTTTTGTGCTTTGTAAAGAATATTACCATAAAATATACACTGAATTCCAGGCTCCTGGCTTGGAAGGCACATATATAATGTGGCGGGGTTGAACATGACTGCGCGCGCCCAACTCTTCCTCTAACCTGAGACAGTGATGTAACAGCAAACCATAAGAAAAAACGATAAAAATCAGTTAAAAGGGGCTTCACTTATCAGATCGACACAAAGCACAAACAATGAAAAATAAACAAAAGACACAAAGTACTGATCTGAGAGTACTCCAAGTTACTGAAAGTTTATCCAAAGCCAATAACACCTGACAAAAAAATCATGTATCTACAGTGCTACTTAAATATCAACCAATGGATTTAGTATGATATAAAGACTCATAAACAGTCAGAGAAAACATGATCATGTGCAATACCAAAATATAAGTATCGACAGAATTTAGACCCGTAAATGTACATACCTGATTAACACTTTACATTGATTGCAGTGCAAGTTGGGCGTCATCATCCAGAAAGCATTTGTGATAAGTTATTTCAAATACAAGCTAACAGAACAGTCATTTTGTTTGCTGACGGCTATCCTATAGACCCACCATGTACAATCAGTCTTGTAGGGTATACATTGCAAAATAAAACATTCGTGGACCTTTGTTATGACATCAACGAAATTCGCTTACCAAGTAATTCCAATAGTTCAGTTGTTGTCAAGGCATGGTCGTTGGTTGTATACGAGAACGATACTGCGACCTACATTAGATTTAACGGATCTTCGGTGAGTAAAACATCAGACAACAAGCTGCAGTGTGTAACAAAAGAATTGAAGTTTCTTCAATTAAAAAAATCATCTTTTCTCATTATTGTTCTACTGACTTTTTATTCTCTTTTGAATAAGCAGAAAGTTCATACCACTGATAGTTTGCATCCATTATACATGGGTTATCACGTATTAACAAACAAAAGATGAAATGAAAAGGTCCCGTCAACCTCTTCACAGATTGTCGCCATTTATCTTTTGGTCGTTTTTCGTTTATTTGCCATGGCATTGTCAGTTTGTTTTCCACTTATGATTTTGAATATCCCTTTGATATCTTTCCACCCCCTCCTTAATCGAGAAATATTAAAGAGAAAATTAGTTATAAGTGTAAAGCAGAGTAACGAGTTCGAAATCCGTGATTTTTTTAATTTGATTATTTGACTATTTAGTAATACACATTTATTTTAATACTTTTTTTGTTAATTTGAAATCTTGTAAAGATGTGCAATTCTCAATAACTGCTTAATGTTTTATTAAAACTTATCAACTAATGATGCGAATGCGAACGATATGAACTAAAGTGAGTCTGTTATTTTTGTTTTATTTGACCGGTTTAAACCTGAGGTAAAGTGTTGTGCATCATGTCTTCAAGTACTAATGATTATATTATTTCCAGAGATAGTTTATGAATTTAATTTACAGCCGTTCAGAGAAGACACGAATGAAGGGTTCTTCACACCTTTCTGTGGACAAGATAATGATGAGGCGTTCTTGCTAGAAATAACCACATACATTCCAATTTATTACAACAAATCACTGTCAAAAACATCACCATTTTTCAAAGCCAAGAGCAGACAAGGTTAGTGCGAATAACTTTTCCGTATACGATCAGAATTTTTCTTTGCAATATGATTGAATACAAGAGTATATTAAGGCAACAATAGTTTACCGGTGATCAAGTCTCGTAAATGAGTGAATGGCATGAACTCCTAAAGGAGCGAGACGGGTTCGTCGACAAGATGAGCGTCACCTGTTATGAATGGATCACCCGCCATGCAAATCCATACTCGAATTCGAGTAATCAACCAAATAGGATACAATCGGTAAAATTGCAGGAAGCCGTTTTTACATTGGCACTGGAATCAAACTTTATAATTTACTTAATAAGGCCCGATTTTGTGATTTTATTTTCATTTTGATTATTTGTTTTGGCTGTCTCAATGCTCTTCAATGACTTGTGTATGTGGCTTACCAAACGTTTTACGGTTAGATGAGATATACGTGTTGCCAAAGTAGTCACAATTAAGTAATGTGAAAAATATATATCCGTTATCCTCTTTTTTTTTTTGTTGGAATTTCATAAAATTAAGTTATTTGTAATATGATTGGATTAAATTAAGGCGACAATAGTTTATCGCTGATAAAATCTCGTAAATCAATTAAGAGACAATTCAAGGTAACAAACAAAAAACATAGTGAATGGCATGAGCTCCTTAATGAGCGAGACTGGGTTCGTCGACATGGTAATCGTCACCTGCTATGCGTGCTTCACCCGCCATGCGAATCCTCACTCAGTCAAAAAGTCAAAACCGGAATTTGGTCACAATCGGTAAAATTGCAGATTAGACTACTATTTTTGTTACTCAATTTCTATGACCGCAAAAACATGGCGCTAGCAAGTTGTGAAAATGACACATCGTATTGGTCAAGCAATTTGTAATGGTAATCTTAAAACTTATGAAGTTGATTTCTGTTTTTCTTCCTCATAACTTGATGGAGCAGTTTTTGTGTAAGATGTACATCCCATTTAGTGTGAACATGCACGAGCGTAACGTATTAACTGGGATAAGTAAACACCATACGAACGAGAGGAGGGTACGTTTCTGATGAGAAATTGGAAGTTTGACAATTGGAAAGTGGAAATCATCACGTGTCATAGATTCTAGTTTGAAGATCAAGATATGAAGCAGACATTTACTACCGGTAGTTTCCTTAAAAGGGAAACTCCGCAAAAAAATGAAAAATTGATATTTTGTTTTTTAAGCATAAAAAACCACATGTTCATAAATAAAAAAAACTTTTATTCTCTATGAAAAGAGATCAAAATCGATTTTTGAAATTCACTATCAGTTCTCGACATATCGCCATCTTGTCGGCATGTTCGATCTAAAAAGTCACGTGATATCTATAAACCACAAAGACCAAAATGAATCAGGGATTTACCGACCGTGCGTTAAAAACTCCCATCATTAATCGGGAATTACCGTAGATGATCACTCAGTGTGAAAATGTCTTGTCAAGCGTACGGTTGTTCTGTCCGACAAGGTTATGACAAAAGTCTAAATAGTTTTCCCAAACCCACAAAAAAAAAAAGAAAAAATTGTATCAGACATGTGTGTTCAACCTTAAACTCACAGCAAATAGTTACATCTATAGCAAGCACAAATTGATGTGTGAAGACCACTTTGAACAATCTTGTTTCGAGGGAGATTTGATGGTAATTATACTTTTTTTAATAACAAAATAACCTAGCAGTTCTGATAGCTATAGTTATCAAATCCTTATATGATAAGATCTCGTTGATTAAAAAAAAATATAGATTTGATGAGGAAGAAAAGTTTCAATTATTAAAAGAAAGACAAATGCAGTGTTCTTGTAACAATCACTGATTTACAAAAGATTCATTAGTATGCATCTTTTATATAAAGTGCATTGATTTATATAAAGAATAGTTCCGTATTTAGACAAGATAATTTTTCAAATTAATAAAGTTATACGATAAATAACATTTTTAAATTATGATATTTAACGGATATTGGCGGGGAGCAATGTTAGGAAGAGGTTTTAGCTAAGACAAAACATGTTGATATAGTATAATATTCCCAGGTTATAGAAATGTAAATATCGAAATATTGGACATCTCAATTTTTTATCAAAAGTGTTTTTTAACTACTAGTAATCTTTTAACTATATCAAATTGATACGGGATCAATTCGGAACAGTCACTTATAAAGACACTCTACAGTTAAATGTGTGACCCTATCTAGTATGTTTGGAAAAAATATAGTATAGTTTTTTTTTTTTCTTTTTTAAATTCTATTTACGTTGTCTTATTATATATATATTGGCTTCCTCCCGAATTGATAATAGGTATGTCAGAATTATTTATAGATGTCGTGTCAGAGCGACACATTCAGTAAATTATCCCAAGGACGTATATTAGATACACGTCCTTGGTTATTCCAGTGACATCCTGTCGACTAAAAATTCCTATTACACAATATATTATACAGGTTCATGCATGGCTTCTTAATTGAGATACCCGGCGTGCACAGGTAACATTTATCACTGGTGTTAAACTGATCACCGTAACTGCAGTTACGGTGATCCCAACATGGCGGAGCCCAAAACAGGTAAAATCGTCTTTTTGTAATTTCTCCGTCACGCATTGTTTTAAAGAATTACTCAGCCGCTACGTTGATATGTACGGTATTGTTGTATGTGTGTGTCCTTAATATCATATGTGACCTTGTTACCGAAATAATAGCCATTGAAAATTTACGGAAGATCACCGTAACTCCAAAAGAAGATAGTCGTAACTTGTGGACAACTAACTTGAAAGATAGTCGTAACTGTATACAATATGTCTATGATCATAGTAACTGATTTTGTCAGAACCTTCTGCTAACGGAATTTTTTAATTAAAAAAAGTTGTGTTAAAGATAACAACAAACGCGTAAACAAGATTCGTGATTGAAATATTTTTTCAACATATTAAGGTAAGTTTGCACATGTGGAGCAGGATCTGCTTACCCTTCCGGAGCACCTGAAATCACTCCCAGTTTTTGGTGGGGTTCGTGTTACTCAGTCTTTACATTTCTATGTTGTTTCTTGTTTACTATTATTTGTCTGTTTGTCTTTTTCATTTTTAGCCATAGCGTTGTCAGTTTATTTTCGATTTATAAGTTCGACTGTTCCTCTGGTATCTTACGCCCCTCTTCTCTTGCAATTTTTCATGAACATTTTAACAAATATTGGTATACTATTCGGACAACCAGATGTCAACGATATTAAAAATATAATGCCTCCTTATGTTAAAACTATACAAAAATATAGTTTCCATTATATCTTTATTTAACACTCTTAGTAACTTTATTTTTTTGTAGGTTACATGTATATGTGCTATATGTGTTCGTTTGTGTCTAGTGCAGACCGGCAGTATTGGCGCACACCTTATTTACCTACACCATAAGAACTGATACAACATTCAGTTTACGAAAAAAAGTGTTTGAGGAGCGATTAGGACATTTTGCATTTCAGTCACTGCATTTAGCATGGAAAATACAAACTCTTAAAGAATATGATTCACAGGAAAATAAGATGCCGTGACATAAAGCATATCTTAACATGAAAACGAACATAATTTAAAGATTATAGTTTCCCTTAATAATGTGTGAACATGGAAAATGTTTGCCTCATCTTGTCATCTTGAAGAAAATTTACCGTAAATTATGACTTGTAAAATACAAAGACTATATCTACAATGCAAAAAGTAAATTAGTAAAATATTCACTAGTTCTAGCCACACTATCAAATATTCAAACACGATTTATTTGATTTGATTTGATTTTTGGTGTTTTTACGCCACTTTTAAGCACCGCATTTAGGATATTTCGTGGCGGCCAGTTTTTATTGGTGGAGAAAGCCGGAGTGCCCGGAGAAAACCACCGACCTTCGATAGGAAAACTGACAATCCTAGTCAATTTAGATTGGAGTCGAGTGCACCCGCACAAGCGCAAACACGATTTATATGTAGTCGCTTATCAGCATATAGAGAAAGTTACGATCATCACTAACAAGTTACTATGATCATGTCTAAGTTACGACTATCTTATAATCAAGTTACCACTATCATAACAAACAAAATTCTTGGAGTTACGATGATCTTCCGTAAATTTTTAATGGCTATAATTTCGGTAACAAGGTCACATATGATATTAAGAACACACACATACAACAATATCGTCATTATCAACCTAGCGGCTGAGTAATTCTTTAAAACAATGCGTGTACACGGAGAAATTACAAAATGACGATTTTACCTGTTTTTGGCTCCGCCATGTTGGGATCACCGTAACTGCAGTTACGGTGATCAATTTGACACCAGTGATTTATTGAACCACATATATTTGTGTTCGACGTTATATATCATGTGCGTGTTTGAAATTATAATTCCACCTGTTAATGAATGATGTTCTGATAATAATATTATCCACTATTTTTGCTGATAATAAGTTTAAAATTTTATTAACATGACCTTTAAAAAGAATTGTGAAATAAATACTGTTTTGTCATGATTCTAGACCCTCCTTTTTGAAAAAAAAAATTCTTCATGCAAATACAAGCTTTTGACGATTTGCAAACATGCAGTATAAAGTAATGCAGCACTTATAGTCAGTATCAAATATTTATTCATTGAAGATAAGAGAGCTCCTTCTATGTCTAATGTGCCTATCTTTATACGGATAAGAACGACAGGGGAAACAGTCACTGTAAAGGAACGGAGATATAGTGGCATAGTGAAAAAAAAATAACCGATTAGAGAAAAATATACTATATAGAGAATGATTGAAGAAAAGGGTAATAGTAATTGTAACGGAAAAGAGATAAAGAGAGACATAGTAAAAAATTACTTGCTAGACAAAGTTACTGCTCGCTTTGATATTTTTATACAAAATCACACATCGTGATCCAAATTGGTTTTCACGTGCGCTAACTTGATGTGTGAAGTTTCTGCATAGCATGGTTAAAATAATTAAGTATCCCATTTGTTATATCGTAGTGTCACTGTGTTTCTTTGTTCAATTTATTTAGTTTGTTAATGATTATGTAAATAAGAATAAATCTGTATAAAAACTTCATACCCGTTTAGTTATTGCCTGTAGGCGTTTGATTATTGTTACATTTAATATATATATAGAATCTTTCACCATCCGACGATGGGAACTCTTTTCTGATAGTGTTGACAACATAAGCTTGTATGGTGATTCTGTTTATCTGTACCTGTGGTTGGCTTCTCCTGCCCCAAAAAACAAACTACCGAAAAACTACTAGTCTGCTTTGTCTGTTAAAAAGAACCCCTGGCGCTCATCCTCAATGGCGCTTATACGTCAGGAAACTTACAAGACTACTAGTAAGGATTGTTTCAAGAACAACGAGGTTGGGACGAACTGTTTTAAAATCGTCAATATCAGTTATATATTACTAAGATATGCATTTTATTACAACTACTGTATTACTAATTTGGATTAATGACGGCTATCCTGTTCAGCATTGCACAAAATTATAATAGAATATAAAAAAAAAACTTGTTAAAAAAAATCCTCAAGCAAAATAATGTATTAGCTTAGATTTATAATGTATGTATATCCATTAATGAAATAAACGATAAATTTTACAAATAATTCGTTTAAGTGATCGACAGATTAATTTAATTATGAAAGAATGAAATGTTAAAAAGAAAATTAAAAAAATGAATGTTTATTTTCAATTAATTTATACAATTTAGTTTTTGTTTCTCTATTGTCATCGGATATTTCTGACCGTCTGCTTAAATATTGATCCGATACGAATGATCGCAATTGATCAAATCCTATATCGTTTTAAAATCTCAGTTTGTTTACCATTTCTAGGCGTTAATAATTTGATTGACTGTTTAAAAATAAGCCACATTATTGTTGAACCTTAAAGTACATATATTTTTGGCAGTGATACTATGAATTTAAGTAAATTTGAAAGATTTTTTTTAAATAGACCTTGTGTGAAATACATTCAGGAGATATTGGCCCTACTCGTTTAATACTTGCACCTTAAATTTCTGTAGCTAAAATTTTGCCAACAGAAAATTGGAAATAGTACCAATGCATTATAATGCATAGTATTAAATTGTGATTGCAACAAATAAAGTAATTTTTATTATCCTGATATCTTTGATGAGTTTTTTATCGGTCTTTTTTGCAAGAAAATATCTTAAAAAATCATCCATATTTCTCTAATATGTGTAAAAGAAGATAACTCGTCATTCTTATTGAAATCTGTATTGTTCGATTAGATTACATCATTTTTTATTTACCTTTAATATGTAGAATTTTCCCGTCAACAAATGGCGCCAAAAAAATATACGTGTTCGTACAGACAGGAATATTTATCTTTTATTTTATGAATACTTAGAATTGATATTTCTTATAATTCGTAGATTAACGGGGGATAATATATTGTCCTGTCACATAAATATAGCAATGGTTTCAGAATCTACTTACCCTTCCGAAGCACCTACGATCATCTCTGTTTTTTTGGAGGGGTTCGTGTTGCTCAGTCTTTAGTTTTCAATGTTGTGTTTTGTATACTATTGTTTGTCTTTTCGTTGATCTTTGTTTATTTGCCATGGCATTGTAAGTATGATTTCGACTTATTAGATATAAGAAGATGTGGTATGAGCGCCAATGAGACAACTCTCCATTCAAGTCAAAATTTATAAAAGAAAACCATTATAGGTCAAAGTACGGTCTTCAACACGGAGCCTTGGCTCACACCGAACAGCAAGCTATAAAGGACCCCAAAAATTACTAGTTTAAAACCATTCAAACGGGAAAACTAACGGTCTAATCTATATAAAAAAAGAAAAACACTTATGAACCACATCAACAAACGACAACTACTGAACATCAGATTCCTGACTTAGGACAGATGCAAACAATTGCAGGGTTTAAACGTTTTAATGGTACCAAACTTTCACCCTTATCTGAAACAATAGTGTAACATCACAACATAGAAAGACACTCTACAAAATAGCAATTGAAATGGCTTAACTCAATCAAAAGACATATTAACACCAGTGAACATACACTGAACAAATAAATTTGATCTATGATACAATGTAAATACAAAATAAATAAACGAAGGGAAGAATAATTAAATGAAACACACTTTCACGAAGGTGACAAAATTATCAGGTCCATAGTTTAAAGTATTTACAAATGTACCTATTTCATAAATCATGCGGATGTCTCGTTTAGAGTGCTACTGAAGACTGAAATAGCCACTTTGAAACAGCCCCTACGATGGTATTTTTCAACTTGAATTTGTTGAATCAAAATGCAAGAATATGTTTTAACAATACACACAACTCTACCCCAGACGCTATATCCTTAAAGTCATACGATTCATTGTTATTGTTTAAATGTGTGAACAAGGTGAAAACAAATTTCTTTACTTTATAATGCGAAGTATTGTATAATATGTTCGAGTCTCAGAGAGTTTTTAAAGGCGAGAGTTAGGTCGTCATGACTTTAGTAGCATTTAGAAATGTTATTCGCACCAAACTATTTAATATTTAACCAAATTGAATATTGACCTTTTAACAATACACTTTTAACGTCTTTTTCAAATTAGATATCAGTCTTGAATATAGAGAATCTAGACCTACAATTCATTACAGTGGACGAGTCAACCCAATGTTCTTGATGAGAAACTCTAGCCGCTGTGCTTGTCAAGGCTGTCCACCTTGTACAGAAGTATTTGGAAAATTAGTTGAGATTGTGAAGGACGAAGATGATTCCAAAGAAAAAACTATAGGTTATTAAATACAATTTCATGCATGAAGTGAAGAAATATTTCTTATCGCAGAAGAATGAATTAATATGACTAAGGAATACTCACATCAAATTTGTATCACCACATATCTGGTTTTTAAGTGAAAATCTTATAGTCTAATAAAACATTATTGTTCAATGGCAATAATCTACTTAGAGAAACTTTATCAACACAAGATTATGTAATAACCTATTTCTAAAATCTCTAATTGACCCTGTAACTAGATATCCATTTGTTCAGCTATTTTCCCTAGTAGGGACATAAATTATTTACAAATAAGAGCTTACCGGAAATTTTTCAAATCTTATGATAACAATGAATCCTTTGTCTACCTAAAAACTTTTGATATCAATTTTTATTTTTTATTAAATAAATGATAAAAATAATTAAAAAAAATGTCATTATAACAGAAAAAATCGGTAATTGGCAAATATATTATTATGAATTCAAAGTGAAGGGCGACTTTCTAATTCATGTAAAATAAAAACAACACAAACAAACAAACGATTAACATTTAAGGTGGTACCAAACACCTTGACTAAAATTAATTTGGCTCGTTTAATTTTCATAAAATTTTGACAAAATATTTACTTTAACCCTATGACAATATTATAAATTTTTCAAAAAACTTGAACCACACACCTTATCGGAAAAATTTCATTGGATATATAGCAGTTTGACAAAAATTAATTTTGATCATTGAGAAGCTAAATATTTTCCTTAATAATAGAACGTGATTAAAACGTTCATCTGATTTTTACAGAGTTATCTCCCTGTAGTGTGTATGTACCACACACAGAACCAAATTTGCTATACTGACTTCAGCATCACTTTATTTCATTCTACGATCTATTTCAAGCAATAAAAACACATAAAGCTTAAGTCCAAATACTATTTTACTAGTTTTAAGCTCAAATTGGACTGGTAGTAACATATAGGTTATTCAAAAAAAAAACTGCATATGGATATTATAAATGGCCAATTTACTTATTTTATTCTCAATATTATTGTTGTATTTAATAATTTCTGTTAGGAAAACAATGTGCTTACCAATAGTCATATTTTACCAGAGTTTGTTCATTTAATAAAAATATATTAGACCAAACCTAAGACATAATTGAGAAAATTGTCCCCCCTTTTTTCTTCAAATTGGAAAAGGGACATTTTTGGTATAAACCATACTTCTGTGGTACAACATAGATTATAAAGAGCAGTTTATATATTTTTCAGCTGGATAACTTGCTAAACTGGTTCAAAATTGCATGTACAGTGAGATTTTGGAATTCTTATATGAGTATATACCAATTGCCTAGATTGTAAAAGGCTATCATAAGAAAACCAATAAAACTTGAAAAATCATAGGATTATTTGACCAAGAGCTATTTTTTTACCATAAACAAGTCATTATATACATGTTTCATTGATTGCAATCCCAAATAATGCAAAAATAAAAATTTGAAGTCAAGTCTTAACTGCATGCATGTTGTGTGACCATAAAAGGCTAAAATACCTGATTATGTCAATTTAAGAGCTGAAATTTCCCATAAACAGAATTGTTCATCCAAAAAGATGATTAAACATGTTTACTTACATCAAATATGACTTATTTTCATTGGAATATGTACAACTTCTAAAAATTGAATTTCTGATGATTCTCTGTAATAGGAAGTACACCACTAATTCATGGCCCCATTGCTTTCTATGTTAAATTCCTCAATTTCAAGCAGACACAGCTCTTTTGTTTCAAGTTCAAATAAAGTGACAATCATTGCATGTCAAAGCAACACTTTATGGTGTCTTGTACTGGAAAAATCAACATACCTTTAATGGCATATAAGAAAGAACTGGTTCCCGGAACTTCGGATGTACCAAAACAGGTACTTCAGATCTGACATACAGGCAAAAAGTACCCTCTTTATAAAATTTGGTGCAGTTTTTTTAATATTCAAAATTGTAAGTCAAAAAGTGTTCTACAATGATCACCAGTCATTCAGCTTTCATTTGATACCAACAATACCTAAATATTCTACATATTTTGAAAGTTACACTCATGCGTAGGAACTATTTTGTGTTAAATATGTACTAAGTCTACTTTCTGGTATGTGCTTTCTGGCCGGGCCGAATTAGTGGTGTTACACCTTAAACGTTAATTTTGGAATAATTAGGTAACGTTTGTCAATGACGATGATGCATTTTCTTCTTCTGTTGAACATGTTGCACTTATACACGAATTTCATGTTTGTCATTGCCGGATAGAAAAGTTCCCCTTTATTTGTTTCTAAAATACAAAAACATTAAACAAATAATATTTCTAGCAAACGCCATTAAACGAAGTGAAAGTCATTCGTAGTAAAATCCTGGAGCATGAAATAAGTGTTTAGCAAAACAGAAGCAATATTTCTTAGAATACAATTATTTAACTTCTAGTTTGAAAAGTTTTCATTGTTTTGTAAATTGTCTTAATTCATCTTTTAAAATACTTTCAAAGTAAGGACTATTGAAACATGTTTCTATCAACAATTTCAATATTCATGTTTAAATTGAAACAATTTGAAACATTGAAAAAAAGTATGACTTGTTTACTCGTAATAAGATATATTTTTTGTTCAGAACATACTAAAATTGAATTAATTTCTTATTTACAGACTTCAACAATCTGATAACAATATTGGGAGGTGTAGTCACAAGCTTATTTATTCCTGTAGTTCTGCTCCTTGTTCGACATAATATTCGAAACCGGAGTGTTAAAGAACAAACCAGTAAAAGAAATCCAGGGGATGGCTCCGACGATATTGACGGAAAAATCGACAACAATGATGCTGGTACAGGTTTCTTTTTTTTTATTTAAGGTGGTACCTAACACTACAGGGAGATAACTCTGTAAAAATCAGATAAACGTTTTAATCACGTTGTATTGTTTTAAAAGGAAATATTAAGCTTCTCAATGATCAAAATTAGTGTTTGTCAAACTGCTATATAACCAATGAAATTTTTCTGATAAAGTGGTTGGTTCAAATTTTTTGAAATTTTTATATTTTTGTCAAAGGGTCAAAGTAAACATTTTGTCAATAAATTTTTGGAAATTAAACGAGCCAAATTAATATTAGTCAAGGTGTTGGGTACCACCTTAAGAAGTTTTATTTATCAAATCTATTTATTGGCCTCATCATAAGATGTGTTGTTTTGGAAAGCTATTTATAAGTTTGATACAACTTGTAAAAAAATCAAGCAAAACGGTTTTAACTTTTTTGTTAATCAGTAAATGGGAAAATTGGTTTTTCTATTCATCCAGTTAGGATCTTTTTTATTTGCCAGCGTATGTAGGCGATAGGAAAGCCAATAAAGCATCTGTTCCTGACAACTTATAATTCTAGTATATGTTTTGTTATTATATAATAATTATATAAACTTTACATTAAATGTGAAAATGGAATCGACATAGAAGGAGGCTGAAAATGCCAAAGGACAATAAAGATAAATAAGCCGGATTAAAAAAAAAGAAGCGGAAATTGTGATTTCAATCTATACAAATGCACACTGTACAAGTAAGAAAATCACACAGAATTTTACTAGTACTGAGTTTTTTAGAAAGATTTTAATTATATAAGCTCAAATATATTCCACCCGGCACCTGAATTAGATTACATGTTGTTTAATATTTTGGATTTCTTTGTGGCAAGATCTTCAAATAAGTCAAATGGTCAAAATGGTCAGTCGACTCCTTTGAGGTGTTTTTGTCGTTGTGTGATCATTTTAACACATGTATGTGTGTTTTGAAGAAATTATAGTAGATAAAGAGACATGACAAGTTTTTCAAATAAGTCAACATTGTGAAAATCGTTAATAACACATTGTTCAAGTTACTGCCCTTGAATTTTTGATCGACAACATATGTATTGAGTTTGATGGAATGATAATTTAGTAGACAGTCGGTATCCAAAAGGCTACTAATTGTGCCCCACTATTTGTTGACTTGTTTTTGGACTCATATTAAGCAGTATTCATACAGAACTTTCTCATAGACAAAAAGAAAAAAGCATCGGTGTAAACTTTCCTATGCTTGCATCACCCGTCAAGAGAATTCACACCCTTTTAAAATAGCTCAGTCGGGAATAGGATACAATCGGTAAAATTACAGATCAGACGACTTTACTGGTATCTAAAGATTTAAGACCGTGAAAATATTTCGATTGTGAGTTGATACACATAGTATCGGTCAACCAAATCGTGATGGTGACCGTAAAACTTATGTAGTGTTGATTTTAGTCGTTCTTCCTCATAATTCATTTTGTTGAAGGAGCACACCCTGTTAATGAGGTTCTCATAGTGTAAACAAACACGAACGTAACATATAAACTATAAAAATAGATGTTACTTATTTGAAAATAAGTTATACGGACCATTTGGCAAAGAAAGATGAAGCATGCCTGATCATAGACCCTTTAGTTTATATTTATATCAACGACCAGACAGCATAAACCCATTTAGAAAGAGTTTATACGTACTCTTTTTCACATTGAGCCCGTTACCTAGCATTAACCTAGCCTGATTTCAGATTTTCAGAAGAAGTTTATTCTTCAATTTCGTAATAGATTTGCCCTTCCAAGTGTTTTATTCGCGCACCACTGGTTCGTCTTGTGTAAACGAAATGTGCGTCTAGCATATCAAATTATAAGTCTGAGTTTTTATGAGATTTTACAAAACTTACTGTTTTAAAACTATTGAATTATTCGATGCACTGAGGTTTTTCTAGATCAGGCATTGTTTGCTTTAGCCAATTTTTTTGACATAACTTTTCAGAATTTTCGGTTTTCAAAGCTCTAATATTTTCTTTTAAATTTGGTCTTCTAAAGTTCTATTAATTGAGCACCCCAGAATCATCTTCTGTAGACGAAACACGCGTCTGCCACACCAAATTATCAGGCTAGTATCTTTGGTAAATTCTTTTTTAAGTTGTGATCCTTATTATTGGATTTAGGTTCTCGGCATTTATGCCAATGGTACCACACAATTCGCAGAGAAGTGTTGTTGGTTATGCTCAGGTCACTAGTAATTACTTGGCTAGCCAAAATATTTACAAATAGGGACATAGCACAGGTACAATCAAGAGGATTAGACTTAAAGTCGTCAATATGTAGATCCTGCTTGTAGTTTGTTTGTAGTTGAAACTTTTGTAACAATCAACTTTTATTTTTAAACATTTTAGTCCATATAACTTTATATTTACTCATATTACCGATTTTCCAAAGTAACTGTTGTGGATTCTGATGAAAGTATATACAGAAAGAGCCTTTATCTAAAAAACATTGCTCTATTTCTTTTCAGTTTTAGCCATATTCTGTCCGTGTATACAGTGGTACTTTTGTCTAATTTTGATACACTGCCAACCGACATACACACACTTAGTCTAATGTTTATCCAATAGTCTAAATACTACAAGTAAATGTATTTAAATTGTACCAAATCAGAAACTTTTGCCAATCTTGTTTACAGCATGTGAACGATAATCATATTTCTGTTTATTTTATTTTCAGCTTCAGAAGAGGACCAACATGAATTATGTCTATTAACTCCCAGACAATCTATGACGAGTGATGAATTATCTTTTCATTCTGCATATTAAATCTGGTCAATTTCTTATATTATATTTATGACAATATCTTTGACCTAGGTTTTAAAATAAATACATGTAAGGTGACTAGAAAAATTCACATCACAGTCAAAAATGGTTCATAAAGTGTAGGCATTTTAATCAAGCAAACAGGATAAGTGAATATATATTACAAAAATGGAGTGATCACTTTTTCAAGAAAAGATTTTTCGGTCGAAAGTTTTGCTTGTTTGCAAAAACTCAATTTTGGTCTGCATGAAATTTAGTTTATTGTTTAACATGGTTATTAAAAAATAACACTCAATGTGGATGTATGTTAAAGTGCGTTTCGTTTTAACAATTGGTATCACCATCTCAGAGAGCGAGTCTATCTTACCCAATGTGCTTTCATAACATATCAGGGAAACTGATATTCTCTATGAACAAATTGTTCATAAAATGCTTAAATCTATCGAAACACAAAGGTGTTTGCATCCCAGACATAGTTGATCTTAGCCACATTCGGAAATTAAAGGTTTTTTTTTAATTTTTGATTTTAAATGGATTTCAACATCGCTATGGATAGGGCTTTTACAATTTTTCGATTCTAGCGCCGATTTTAAATTATAAAAGAGGCGCTACCTTCTACATTCCTGTCCACTGAATTTCAAGTGTGTTTGATGGCATACTAAAAGGCATATCAGAATTTCAAAAGTCTCAATCAAAGGAAACCATAAAACAGTGCAAGAAATAATAAACAGTATCAACACTTTGAGAACGGTCGTCAGCTCACTAACCATCCACATGACGCACGAAGATTGCCGATTATCATTTATCTGTCCCCCGTGTAAATATAACAGATGACATACATAGCACATACAGTACTACTAGTCGATCTCATATACAGTAAGAGGTTAAAACATTAGGTATTTCGGCATTTTACCTGTAACCGGTATAAGACTTTTGCGAGTCGCAACAGTCAACGAAATCGATAATCCTGTTTGACCTTTTGCAGCTGACAATGTAACTGGTACAGCTAAGCACATACGTTATCATCGCCAGCGAAGGACAGACTCAAAGGTCGCATGCAGATGAATCTAAATAAGTGTCATATAATTGTCCGCTAGACAACACAGTGTTAGTTATTTTATTGTTTGGCTTATTTTGACAAAAATAATCCCACTTGACGCTTATAATGAATAATTAATCAATTATAATCCGTTGTTGTAAATGTTTCAGGCCAAGAAAAACATATTTTAAATATTTCAAATTATATTGTCAAAAGTATAGTTAATAACATCTATCGTAAGTTTTAATTCCATAAAGCACTGAAACATGTTTTGTTCTGGTAGCAGTTTCAGATAGTTTAGTGATTTGTCCTACATAATTTCAAAAAAATATAGTGAAAAGACTGCTTTTATTAAAGTATCAAACACTTAAGGAGTGCGTTATTAAATGCCTTTTTAGTAGTTCTCCTTTTTAATTATTTTGAGTCAACTGATTGATTCTAAACCAAAGGTAAAAGGAACTAAAAAAAACATCAGTGTTACCCCGCCAAAGCAACCAATATATTGACCTGTCAATCCAAAGTAAGGAAACTGGTCCTTATATAAATAAGGAGATTTGGTATGATTGTTAATTATACAAATGTCCTGCATAGACCAAATGACTTGTATGTAAATAATTATAGGTCACCGTACGGTTCTCAACAATGAATAGAACCCATGCCGTATAATCAGCTATAAAAGGCCCTGACATGACAAAATGTGAAATATTTCAACTGAGAAAACCAAAGGCCTGGTTAATTACAAAACAATATGACAGACCAATGAACCAACAGCAACCACTGAATAACATGTTCATAAGTTTGGACGGTTTGAGTTGTTTTAATAACAATAACTTCATCTGCTGCAATTGCTTTTACCGTTTTTAACTTAGAAATTATATAAACTTTTGTAAACCCCGTCTCTTCCTATAGCATTTCCTCCTAATACGGTGCCTACCTATATAGATACTGAATAAACTGTTGTTAAAGACCCTTCCTCAACTTAAAACAACAATTTATGATACGGCACCTACGAAGAGTTACTATAAGAAGCGGGACATTTAAAGACGTATCGTATCCGTATCTGATGCGTTGACGTATCTGAACGTATCTATGGGTTATTGATCAAAATTGATTATTTACGTGTTTAAATAGTACATGTTTATGTGGATTTTTTTTTGTTGTGTTAGATGTCTTTCGGTCATTAATACACTCTCTTTTTAACACGATAGTTTTCAATTTATGTTTACTCGTTTATATCTAAACACTCGATATTTAAACCATCGATCGTCACTTTTCAGGCATGAATTTAAATGATACTAATGCAGATATAGATAATGATTGAGTCAAAAACTGTGATGATAATTTCGAGAACAAGGATAAGAGAGGTAAACAAATAGGGAAAGGGTAATGAAAATTTTTGTTCTCTTTCATTTTTACTATTTGAAAAAAAAGTATTGCCTGCTAAATGTATTAAAATTGGTAGCAGTCACCAATCCGACTCTGTAGATGTTGAATGATTCATTTATTAGCAAATTTAAAGTACGCGTATAAATATTGTCAACGTAAACTTTAATTAGTAAATATAATTCAACTTCACGCCTGGGTAGTTCTAATGATTTAAATATCGAGTGCTAAAACATATACAAGTATATAGATTGACACGAAAAACACGTGATTGTTAAATGTGTGTAGATGTTAGCTTCTGCTGTCGTCCATGCTTTCATAATTGTATTGTTAGTTTCTGTAACTAAATATATATCGTAGAAACAATTCCTTTAGGGCAACAAATGTAACAATAGATAAAAGAAGTCATGATTTTGACATACAAGAAGCAAGTATATAAACACATTTTAAATACATCTGTTAAACAATTATTAAAAAACAATTCAGGTATTAAAATTGATAGAGACCAAAAATAGTCATTAACCTTTCACTTTTTTTTTCCAACTCTTTTCCCTATTCTCGATTGCTACATGTATTTTAACAATAACCAATAGATACGTTCATATACGTCAACGTATCAGATACAGATACGATGCGTCTTTAAGTGTCCCACTTCTAATTAAACTGTTGTTATAGACGGTGCCTCTACGTATAAAATCAGAAGTCTTGCTAATATGGCAACTATCCTAAGTTAAACTATAAAGGTTGCACTTTGTAAATATAGCTGATTCATGATCATGCACAAACCACGCCTCTTTTGGGTAGATTCCTAATGTTTATAGTTATTTTGTTTCGTTTACCTACTGGTTCTCAGATATGATATCGTATCGTATAATTACATAACCGTCAGCACTGAGTAAACGCATCAGTGAACAGAGCTATTTATATCTCAGTTCGTATAGTATGTACGTGTAAATTAATGATTGGTGATAAGTTACGAGGAGACGGTCTTATAAGTTGAACGATGGACAGTCTTCGGACTTAATGCTTTCTTACTACCTGATTGGAAGATATTACTGACTCTTTATAGTAAAAGTATGTTGATTGTTTGGGGCATTTTGAAACCTAGTAAATGTCCTTCAATCCCGCAGAGTGTCGGGTTTGAACTCTTTATTTTTTCGTTATTAAAGTTGCATCGTGATCAATCATGTATATCGGTATACACAGTAACATTATTCTATAAATAGACGAAACTCCTGCAATTATCTAATGTATAAAAACGCACACGTGATCATTCCACATTTAATCCATTCGCTCGTTGTTATAAATGTTTAGAGTCATTATAGTTGAAACGTATATGAAAACCTAGGGACACACCGCGCATGCTATCCATCCAAGTCACAGTGTGTAAAAAGTATACAGTTATAGGTCAAAGTACGGCCTTCAACACGGAGCCTTGGCTCACACCGAACAGCAAGCTATAATTTTAAAGGGCCCCAAAAAGAATAGTGTAAAACAATTCAAACCGGAAAACCAACGGTCTAATCTATATAAGTAAAGAGTTTTGTGTGTCGATTAATTCGGTTGCCTGTCTTAATTCTTTATGTATACTTCACTGCTGTTCAGTGGTTGTCGTTTGTTGGTGTGGTTCATAAATGTTTCTCGTTTCTTGTTTTTTTTACAAAGTTCAAACAGCGCATGCCTCTTACAAGTTATAAAGTCTTCTACAATGGACATATTATGTCATTCCAATATTTTAAGCTTTTAACCCTCCCAAGTGACTTTGTCTTGCTAGATATAAAACAATTGTGAATTAATGTTAAAAAAAAATATGGCAAACAATGAATTAATATATACAACTGAAAACAATGAACAGAGTCAGAAACAAACGTCTTTTACTTGTTTTTGAGATTTATTGACTATTTATACTAAACATGCTATACGAAAAAGAGAAAGAAAATAGATAAACAAAGACGAAAATACTGTTGGCATTGGATTATTTGAAAATGGATATTTTCTAGAGGAATTTAAAACCATGTACATATATACACATACAAACACTATATGCATGATAATAAAACAGAAATACATCTACATGTCAACATGTAAACGCTCTCCCACAAAAGGATATGTTAATTCAGCATGTTTAGCTTTGGTGGTAAGTACGATAAAGGCCTTATTTCCCCCTCAATATCGATCAAGTCCATATGCGAAAAAGCGAAATAGAACGAATGCTTCGAAAGTTACGTTGGAATGTATACCCGAAAGGACTATCAAAAACAAAATTTGATGCAATTTTCCAAATCTTATGGATTTCAACGAAATTTAGGCTTAAATGGTATAAAGCGCTGTATTCGACAAACTCACTATTTTAGTTAGGGAGCTACCATTTGATTTTTATGGGGGGGGGGGGGGGGGGGGGGGGGGGGGGGAGGGGGCTAGGAAGAAATTTGAAAAAAAAATAGGCAGGACAGGAGTTTTGAGTAAAAAAAAAGGCAGGATGAGACACTTTGCAAAAAAAAAGGCAGGATGACAATTTATGTAAAAAAAAAGTCAGGATAAACTAAAAAAAAAAAAGGCAGGACCGAATAGAGTGAAAAATAAAAATGCAGGACAGAAATTACAAATAAAAAAAATGCAGGACAAAATTTGTCATCCAAGCCCCCCCCCCCCCCCCCCCCCCCCCCCCATAAGTATCAAATGGTAGCTTCCTTAGATATTTTATTTATTATATCATGTATTATAAGCATAATGTTGCAAGAACTTTTTGTTGACGTGTGCGCTAGCGCTGTTTCCGGTTCCGAAAACGAATGGAATACGTGGCCTGCTTTCTTTGTGTTTGCTGGGAAATTGGGATTGATGCTAACTGTATCGTCAAAGAATGATATATAATCTATAGTTATTGTTTTAAAGTGTTTCATTGCTATAACAGCCATCAATCAAAATTTAAATTTTAAGCTCGATATGATAGTTATATTTTGGCCTTGTCCAGCTTTCTTATAGCCTTAAAACGTCGATGAGTAAATTTATCGGAACTAGCCTGACCTGGGAGCAATACACTAACTTTATTATAGGTCAACTGCTTAAGCTCCGTTTTTCTTGATCTCAACACTTCTCGTTTTAATTAGTTTTGAATGACAAAAGGCAGATAAAAGAATGTTCAATATAAGTTTTAATGATCATTTTGAAAAGATGTGAGTAATATTTTTGTCTTCTTTAATGTTTAAATTTTACTACGTTTCACACTCTATACTTTTTTCTAGACCTACCATGACTGCAACAGAAACAGCCGGAAGTGGTCATACTTTTTTAACACAAAGAAATAAACAACTGATCTAGAAGTAAATGGATAACATATCTTTTTGAGAGAAAAAAAGTAATCAATAAACAGATACAAACGCAGATGATTGAGTAAGTATACCCCCTTTTTTCGGTGTTTATACATTCCCCCACAGGCAACGCTGAAAAAAATGTCATATATGAAGTTATATATTAAGGTGTATGTGGAAAAAAACATTTTCAAATTTCATCAGCTATGAGACCGCTAGCTCTTTAGAAAAGCTATTTCTTGTAACACGAGCAGATTAAGGTACGGAATGCGTAATAAAGTGTCAATTTTTACTATCAGCGCTTATCAAACAGTTTGTATCCGTAATCAATTACTCATCAAGCCAATAGAGTCTTAGCAACATTTTTAAACAACCAATCAGAACTAACGTTTGTTAAGTGATTTCAAGATGACGTGTATGTCGTCTAAACAAATAACTTCGCACCATAATGCGCGTCAGTAAGGCAAAGCAAACATCTAGAAATCTAATTGCGTATTTTTCAAACCTAGCTGTATAAATTTGAAATCTAGCTAAATAATTGAATTTCATAATAATTTTGAAAATTTTGACTGCGATAATGTTGCGAAA